CGCGAACGTCTAGTCTGGTCTAATACATCGATAGTGCTACTTGTTCATAGATGGCGCGTACAATTGAATTAAGTTGTATACCGAGCAAAATTTGTTTCATCCAAACAGGACATATTCCGAATTGGACGTATTCTAAAGCAGACGTATACCAAGGTACCACTGTAATAAAATATAATGAGATAAATTTGAATTTTTTTTTTTTTATTATATAGATAATAAATTTTTGTTAAGTTCTAAATTTGGGCGGAGCCGTTTAATTATTATTAGTTTATAAAATAAACTTACATTTTAGGTTATTCGTCATTAAATACAGAACGCAAAATCGAGGTTCCTTTATATAATTTTAAATAAATCTCCATTTAAGTGGAGATTCCTTATAGAATTATAAACATTGTTTGAATGATTTCTCTCCTTAACATTGCTTTATACTGTCGATAGATATTTAATACTTTCCCGCAGTTAACGATGTTATATCGCTAAATATGGGGTTTATATAATCGAACCCACATTAAGGTTTCAATATCTAGCAAACTGTTTACATATTTACTGTTGAAATAAAATGAATATTTAAAAAAAAAAGTATCAGAGTAGTTAAAAGCTTTGGGACAAAATAAAAATTTATTATTAAAACGGGTTAAATAAATTTAAAAAAGCATTTAATGCATTTAATATTTAAAAATAATTTAAACACTTTATTAATAAAAAAAATATATATATTAAATGTAGGTTACTTTATAAATACAAAGGTATTTAGACTTTAAATCGACGTCAACCTTATCAAATAATTTTTATGTATAACATTGTTATACCGCCTGGTAGACCCAAAATTTAATATTTTTCTCTCTTATTCCGAATAATTCGTCTGGTATTTATAAAAAGAAATCTTGTGACAAATTATTGACCGATTCAAATGTGTGTGTGTTTTTTTTAAGTATGATTTTCACAACTGACCTCAAACCATTCGTCCATTAATTGAACAGAGTTACTCAACTGATAGTTTCATAAATATAAAGATGACTTTTATACCTTAATCGATACGTTTAAATATATAGCGGGTGGTCCAAAAGTCAGTTAACCGTGTTGTACTTTTGTGTTCCCAACGACGGACTTTTAATTTAATGTTATTTCATCTTTACGTAACATTACAGATAAAATACGAAATTTAAGATTTTCCGAATTCTGTATTGTTAAAAAAAATGTTAAGGTTTCATCTCTATTTACAATGGTTAACATCTCTTATATACAGTACATTTAACTCTATAAAAAGAAATAATTTTTAATGTAAACTGTACAAATGTATTCTTTATTCAATTAAGATGATAATCTGAAAAAAAGAATAATATATATTTTTCCTGTTATTATTTTAAGGTAACGCCTAATTTTATCGATCAAATTCTTGTAACTTGTACGACTTTGAGTCAAAAATTTAAAAATAACATCGTACTAAAATTTGTTAAGTATTTTCCCATGACGAAGCTAATTTTGTAGATTTTTTTTTTTTCTAAGAGAATATGAATATTTTGTTTATTTTTTACACGCATTAAAGTTTAGAAAACTATTTTAATATCGATCGCCGGAGTGTTCTAACGCGAACGTTCTATCATAACTAACCTATTTATGTAGTTTTTAAGTCTCACTTAACATAAATTATTATACGGTGTAAGCGTTGTAAAGAAAATAAAAAACAACGGGAGAAACGTATTTATGCGAAATAAAACGAAAAAATCAACAAAAATCGATCACTAAAAATCATTATAATGCGATGAAATTTTAAAAATTTAAAAAAACGATCACGTGACGCGTGCGTCGTAACCGTTATAAAAAATTCAATTGAAAATGATTGGTCGACGATACGTCCATAAATTTTTAAATTTCGTACGTTATATAAAAGAATATTTCAAAAGTATTAATAAGTTTTATTTCTCGGAATCTACGATAATTAAATAATATATTATTAATGGTGGAAGTTTCTTATTTATTAATATTATACGTTACGTAAAAGGCGTTACGAAATCACGTGACTCCGGTATATATTTATATATATAAATATATAAAATATAAAAACTCCTACAGCGTATTATTTCGATTTTATCCCAGTATTTTCACCTGCCTCGCAATTCCGTCACAGGCGAGTCAGTTTTCCGCTTTAACGAAGTACGTCTGTCCTAATTTTTATCAACGCCCCCCTCGCGTTACCATAACGACAAACTTATTGTCATTTAGTTAACTGTCAACTGCACGTGCGCTCCAGTCGCGAATGTCGGGAATTATGAGACGCACCTCCGAGTGAGTATTTTATAACCCGATTTATCGGTACTTTTAGATTTTGTTTTGTGTAATTTTATTCTTTGAACATCGTCGATTTGGGAATAATGCAAACAAAAGCCTTGGGTTTAGTATATATGTCTCTCGGTCGATCGGTACACAAATTTTCCGACTCGACTAACAAATCTAGAGGATTAGTCAGTAGAAAAACCCCCAAATGATTTCTTATTTTACATCAATTTAACTTCTACCAGTTACAGTATATATTTCGAGATCGTATTAAACGAAATAATAACGTAAATTGTAACGATAAGAGTTAAATTAATATATTTTTGTTAGATTTTATAAAATCGAACTCTGGCGGAGCAGGCGATCGACCCCCAAAAAACCCCCGAACGATTTATTTATTTTTTTGCACGAATTTATTTACCTTTTCTAAGTGGTGATATATAGTTTCTTTTCTTAAAATAATTTAAATTTAAAATAATTCGATAAGAATTTAATCGAATCGGATCTTTTATTTTTAATTAAGCAATTTCCGCAGGGGATTAATCCCCCGAAAAACCTCTATATAAATTTTTTTTTAAATTAAGAAAAAATTATTATTACGTAAGATGTTAAGTGTTTTATATTACATAATTGGGGTAGAATAAGGATTAAATAATTTTTCCGTTAATTTTACTAACCCCAATCAGGCATTGGGTCGCCAGCTACAAAATGGAAAAAATCTCTCTCTCTCTCTCTGTTTTAAAAATATCGCATGTTAGTGTTCTTTTTTTTATTTATTGTAAGAAAAAAGTAAAGGCTTGTAACAAGTATATGAATGCATGATCGTTTTTATGAGCATCGTTAATTAAATAAGAACTTAACTCCTTTTTTCCCCTATTTACTTTAATGGCTTAGTAAAAATATATCTTTTATATATATATATTGTATATAGATTGATATATTTTACTGTATTATATAAATGATACGCTCCAAGATCTGGCAACCTCCTAAAATTTTCCACTAGATTTAGTAGTATCTAGTGGAAAATTTTAATTTTTAAATTTAAATACTCGTAAAAACGGCTTTTATTTAATTTTATAATTGTGGTATCACTCGAGTGATTTTAACTGTTTATATAATATGTAATTATTACATAATTCGATTATATACATTTTTTATTATTTAAATATCCATTTTAATAGCAATAAAACACTATAGACGGATGAAAAATAGGCGTATTTTTCTAAAATTTTTAATCGAAATGACAGAATATCGCACATAATTAAAATAAAGTTTTGTGTAAGTTCTATGCGTATAATTTATCTGCGAATTTTTGTATGTATTTAATTATTTATAAAAAGTGTTCCGAGTTTAAATAAAAGAAGTTATTAAATAATTGCTTTTAAAAATAACTTCCGTCAGTTTTTGAATTGTTTGTATATTTTATACTTAGAAAATAGCAATAATTATGCGAAATATCCTGTGTATGTGGTACGAGTAAAGCGCACCAAATATAAAAGCAACGTCAAACCAGTACGAATTTTAAAGCTTTATGCTTGTTCTAAATAGCATTTATACTGAAGATGTTTTAGAGATGAAAAATTTAATTATAAGCTTTGTTTATCGGAGAGAATTTCGTACAAAATATATTATTTTGTATATTATATATTATAGATTTGGGCTCCGTGTTCGTATGGCAGGAGAGAGTTTTTTGGTTCTCTAAATGGAATCCCTATATGTATTATTTTTTTATATAAGCGTTCGAATAGAGGATGGTCCCGGTCGTATATCCATTACAAAGATTAAATTGCTGCCTTATTCCAGTAAAAGTTTTATTACTTACAAATCCCACCGATTATGTGAAAGGAAAACGCATTCTAAAGTTGGATTTATTAATATTATTTTTATACGCAAAAATAATTATTTGGCTTTTGGCACCTCTGCTGTGTGTGTGTGTATATATATACATATATGTTCCTGCTTAAAGTAAAATGACTTTGGATTTTTTTATGTAAATAATTCTCTATTTTTAGTTCCTTTTCTTTCTTATTGATGATTGGTTACCTAATTTTTAATTTTAACAGGTATATTTCATGTGTATTTTATTAAATTATATATATANTTATTTAAAATTTTTTGCTTACCAAAATGTTGGTTCTATTCAGAAAACTTAATATTATTATATTAAGTTTTCTGAAAATAAGTTATATAATATTATATAATTTATTTTAAAATAAAATAAATTTCTGTTTAAAATTTAACTTAATCTGATATATCTACTAAAGATTTTACAATAAAATTAATTTTTAAATAGTGTTATATAATCTATAAAGTCACCCATATGTTTAATAAATTTTAATTTTTTTTTTTTAATGATGTACTTATAAAATTTTAATGACTTAAATATTTAACATGAATATTAATTTGGTAAATCCACACGAAATCTAACATATAAAAAGCATCTAAAAAGCCTTCGTTTCAAAGTTACAATAAAGGGAAAAAAAATAGAAATTTTATGTAATTATTTAAATATAACTTAATTCATTTTGTATTCATGGTTTCACGTGTAACTGCATTACTTGGATTGAGTTTTGCTATAATCGTTCATAAACATGCAAGAGCTTTCACATATAGAAGTAAATATCGTTGGGTTTGACCTGGCATCCAAGTTACCATGGAAACTTGAATAATAATAATATATTTCTTAATACCGTGAAACGTTTGCCGAATTCTTGTTTCCTGAAACAATTTAAAACTTTGACAGAGTGACAAGTTACAAAAAAATTATAGATTTTTGTTATATTTAAGTTAAACATTTTTTTAAATTAATAAATCAGCAGAGTAAATGTATTAATTATGTTAGGAAGCAAAAGTATTAAAAACCTATATTTGTAACAGGCATTACAAATTAAATGGTAATTTAGTTCTCAAAATTTGAATTTGTGTAACTGTATTTTCTGATTTTCTGCGTGTTTTTTTATATGTGAGATTGTTAAGTATATTTACAAATATATTTTTAATGGATTCTAGTTATTAACTCACTTATGCAACACACATTTAACTTTTAAAATTATCTTGAAGCAAATATTTTACGAATCACAATGTATATAATGGTACCATTAGACTGTAGAAGCATCTAGGTGGCAGCCTCCTAGGCAAACCAATGATATAGTCAGTTTCTTGCTTGTTTAACTATGCTCATCTACATGCACACCTGTGTCAGATAGTACTGTTGACTTACTGACTGTTTTAAGTGTGTATATGTGTCATTTATTATTTTTTATTGAGCAATTTAAGAAGAAAATAACAAAAAACTTATTTTAAAATCAATTGATTGCAATTATTTTTATATGAATTATTTAGTGGTTTAAGAATTACACATATTTTCTTTATTACAATTATTTGTATAAATGCATAAATGCTTTTGAATTTATATAAAATCTTCATTTAATTTATTCATATTTTTATGTAATATTTCATTCCTAATATGTTAATATTTATAATAATGATAGTGATAATAATTAAGTATTCCTAATTCTCCTGAAGCAAATCGTTCAATGACCCTAAATGAGGTCATAATCAAATCTATAAATCATTATGAAAAGATACTATATGAATATGATATTAGTGTGAGCATAACACAGTTAAACATTATTACTTTTGCCCGATTTACAGATAAAAAATATTTTGCAAACAAATGAAAAGTCATCTGAAACCAATTAACATAGACAAGCTGCAGGCGTCTGTGGCGGAAAAGAAGGCTTCGACCAGTCACATACTGGATCGTGCCAATCAACTGAAAACGCTGTCTCGTAGCAGAAAGGAAGAATCTCTTTTGGCTCAACATAAAGTAATATGGGAACAGGAATATATGCATTTAAGATATTTAGAAGAAAAATTTCAGAGAGAGGTATATAATCATCTTGCCACTTTTGGTCGACTCTGTGATGAGGATGATCTGTATCTGGCCGATGGTCTAAATTATGTACTGGAACTAGAAGAAGAAAAAGCACTGTTTAAAGAAAATGTTGTGAATCCATTATGGTATTTGAGGTAAAAAATATCTGATCCTATTGGAATCATTCAGATTAAATTGAATTTTTCAAATTAAGAAACTTTAATAAAAACAATAAACAAATTTTATTAACAGGGAGGATTTACAAGAATGGTTAAATTTGCACGCAGACTATAAACCCCTACCTGAAGACATTAGATTATATCATAATGAGGTACAAGAACAAGTTAAATCTGTATGGGAAAAATACATTGAAATTGTATATTCCTTAGAACAAGAATTGATTGATTTGGAAGTAGAAGTCAAAGAAGGTGAGTAATTTGTAAACTTTCGTTTTTAATTTTAAAAGAAACAAAGAATTTTGATAAAGTTAAGTAAGTTCTTTTCCCCCAAACTACAGCAAGATCTGAAGTAATAGGTGATAAAGAGAAGCAAATTCCAAAAGGCATTCCGGATGAATTTCAAAAGCTATTAATTCCAGATATACACCTGAAAGATACTCTGTTATCAGAACTTCATAGAATAGATGATACTTACAAACACCGTTTAAAAGAATTGGAAGCAGTTGCTGCAAAACAGTAAGACATACATGATGTAGAGGGAAAAACATTGTCCAATAATATAAATACTTTTTATGCTTCTAACACAATAAAGTGTTATAAATTAAGACACTTGGCGGGTTTTCTCATCTTTATTTAGTTGATACGTGTGAAAATTTTACACGTTTCGAGCTCTTAAGCCCCTCTTCAGCCAACTAAAACATTAAAAAAGAATATAACATACATATAAAAACACAAGCATTGTAGAAATCATAAAAATATAAAACGTACCTTTCACTTACAAAACAGTTCTAAAAAATCCCCGATCTAAAACATATTCTGGACATAAACCTATTATATAACCAATATAAACTATAAAACATATTCTGGACATATTCTTGATATAAATACATATTCTTGATATAATCATATTCTTGATATAATCACACGTATCAACTAAATAAAGATGAGAAAACCCGCCAAGTGTCTTAATTTATAACACTTTATTGTGTTAGAAGCATAAACAAACTGTAAAGCACAGTTTCATATCATCAAAATAAATACTTTTTGTTTACAGGGTGATCAAATGATGATACATCTATGTAAAAGGAGTAAGTAGACTTGGCAGTGCTGGAATGTCAATTGAGACTTCTGACTTCTTACCTGCAACTGATTTATTTATTTGTTTAGGTTTTCTCTTGAATCCATAGTAAATGAATGTTCAAAATTTAAATGTTCCTATAGTAGAGCAGTAACAAGCATTGCCAAATTTATTCCTTACAAGTAAACTTTTCACTTGATCATCTAATATAAAAATTTGTTATTTTCCTAATGTAATTATAATCTGGCATAAATTTTTTTTAGTTCAAAATTCAGTTATTAAAATTTGTTTGTTCTTCTGATAGAATTTATACTTTGAATGATTTACATAAAAAAAATCTATTTACTTTCTATTAAAAGTTCCAAGCCAGGAGGATGGAATGAAAAGGACTTGTCAATTTTTAAACATATCTTACAGCAATATCCAACAGATCTAACAGACAGAAGAGTTCTGTTGTTTAATCGTTTGAAAAGAACATTTCCAAACAAAAGTTTGGCTCAATTAGTAAGTAAAATTCTATTAAAATACAACTTTATTTTACTTGAATATTTGAAGTGTACATTAAAATTTAATTGTTTTAGATGGCATTTGAAACATGGCTTCAGACTCACAAATTTCAGAAAGATCGTTATAATAAATGCCTAGATGACTGGACTCGTGAACGTTGGAGTTGGCTTTTGAGAGCTGTCAGTGCAATATCTCAAGCTCAACAGTCTTACGAAGTACACGAAATGACCAGAGAAGAAATAATGCAACAGAAGGCACTCTGCCAACAACTAAGACAAAAAGTAATAATAATTGATATAATTAAAAATTTAAGAAAGCCTGTTCTGTTTACAAAAAGTTTTTATTCCTATTTAGGTAGAGCAATGGAGGAAAGAAAAAGAGATAGAGAAACGTCAGCAAGCTGAAATTGAATCTCAGAGAAAGATGGTTCTTCAGGCCGCTCAGCAGAGCCAAGCGGCAATAGAGGAACGTAGGCGTACAATGGCAAGACAACGACTTCGAGACTATTATGAAGAAAAGTTACGTTTCCAACAAGAAAGTGAAGAAGCTCTCAGTCAGCGTCTCGATGAAATGAGACAACTCACAAAAGAACGATCTAAATACGATCGAGAAAGGTAGGCATTTTTTAATATATTAAAAACACAATAATGCTTATATGCATTTGGAGCTAGAACTATTTTAAGATGACCAAGACAAAACCTTTCTCACTTGTTTCTAGCCGTTTATACATGAGTACGAACGTTTTCAGCCTTACTCGTATATTTCGGCCTTAATAGGCCTCCTTCAGTATACCTGAAGGAGGCCTATTAAGAAGGCCGAAAACGTTCGTACTCATGTATAAATGGCTAGAAACAAGTGAGAAAGGTTTTGTCTTGGTCATCTACACAATAATGTATGAGAATTATTTTGATGACACTTTTTAATTACATTATTCAATTAAATAATTAATTTTATATTAATGTCTCTGATGTGCTTGTTAGAATTTCAGATGAATTTTAAATAACTTAGTTATGAGAGATCAGAATAGAAGGTTTTTTTTTCTTTTAACAGTAATTATTATTCTTATATGGGCTTAAGGGGTTAATTAATAAATGGATTAATGAATAAATGAAAATAAAATAACTTTCACAACACTTTATCTCACTGAGAATTATTTATTAACTGTAACAAACATTTTCAACCTGGTCTACAGGCCATCTTCAGGTTTTTAAAAGCCATGGAACATTGATAACTGTTCTTTTTGAATAGAACACATTTAAAATACAAAATTCTAATTTACTAATTTATTCTTTGGAATCAATTCTCATTATTTCAAGGAATTTTGTATTTATTTTAAGGAATTGTATATATATATATATATATACAACTTAAAATAACAAAATACAGTGGAACTTCGGTATACGACCTTAATCCGTTCCTGGTGTTTGAACTTATACCGAATAGGACGTATACCAAACCAACCTTTCCCATAAGAAGTAATGCAAAAATGATTAATCCGTTCTCATGTAAAAAAATGGCTGTCTTTAAACACCTCGCTTTCCTGGCTAGTTCCTGCTTGATTTTTCATAAGATCAGCATGTATCTTTTTAGCTTTCTTGTAAATAATTGCTTCTGATACGCTGTTGCACACTGTTTTTCAGTTATCCAAAGCAAAAGCAATTTCTCAACATGATCTAATGTTTTTGATCTCTGTTTAGAAATTGATTTAAACCCTTTCACAACGTTAGCAAATTTAATAACGTCTTTATTTTTCACGATTGTCGATATCGTCGTTCTTGGAATACGGTATGCAACAGTTAAATTTCGAACACTTATGCCACCTTCATATTTCTCAACAATCTTTTTTTTCAGTTCCATTGTGATTTTAATCATTTTTTTTTATTTTTCTGTTGCCTTTTTGCAATTCATGATTAATAAAAATAATAACATTTCACTTACAAATTAAAATCAAAAGAAATTTAACAAAATTATAAACTGTGGCACCGCGAACGTCTAGTGTGGTCTAATACACCAATAGTGCTACTTGTTCATAGATGGCGTGTATAATTGAATTAAGTTGTATACCGAGCAAAATTTGTTTCATCCAAACAGGACATATTCCGAATTGGACGTATTCTAAAGCAGACGTATACCAAGGTACCACTGTAATAAAATATAATGAGATAAAGAAAAAATTAAATTCACAATATCAGATTTTGATTGTATGCACTATTCTCTAATAAGTTCTTTTCAATTGTATATTTCCACACTATGGGTAATACTGTGGCATCCTTATAGTTTATACATCTGTCCAAAAGTTACTTCTATAAATTTCACCTTTTTCCAAATTCATTGCTAATGTTGATGAGTGTACTGGTTTTATAACGCTAGCTTCCTCCCATTCTGTCACTGATCCTTTGCTTTGTACCATTCTAGACAGATGTATAATACTACCTTTTCTCAATGTTATACAGGTGTTCTTTAAGACATTTATTAAGGTTTGTGTTGTACCCTATGTATTCTTTCTCTAAATCCAATTTTTCACTTTTATATGGGACTTTGTATACTCCAGTCTGCTCTCCTTTTTTAACTTTATCATTCCTTAAAAAGCTATAAATGGTGGGTGCTCTCTTGAAAACCAATTGGGAGTCTTTGTAGTCCACCATTTCACTCATAACACCAGTCATATGTAAACTTAATTATTTTTTTCTTTCTTGTTGTTATTCCCTTTTTATTCTCCATATAACTTCTTATCAGTTTTTCAATTACTGTAGTTTTATATTCTAAGGACACAGCAACATTTTTAATTCTATCCAGCTCTTATCCTGTCATATATGTTGGAGCAATACATGAAGGATCTTCTTATTAATGCCCTAAATGTTGATAGTTTATAAATGTAGGGGTCACTTGACCAAGAATGAATATACAAAGGGTCATGCATAGGTTTAATGTATACCTTTTCAAAGATCCATCGTTAAATATGATGTCAATATCCAAGAAATGTATTTATGTTGGACTTATTTGCTCCATTTTAAGATTCATTATTTGAGCTAACCTCATCCAAAGAACTGTTGAATTTTATTTTTGTTTCTCTATAATATGAAGACATCATCCACATACCTCTTGTATAATACTACATCAGCCATAAAATGTATAATAGTATTCTTCTCCAACTTATGCAGAACTAACTTACATAGCAAACTCAACATTGGCTTCCCACTGGCACACATTTTCTTTGTTTATATATATGTTACCGGCCAAACCCGATTTCAGGCCAAACTAGTTTATCCTATGCAGGTCAGGATATACTAGTTTAGCCTGGGACAGTGGTTCTCAACTTTTTTTTGATGATGTACCCCATTAGCTCATTAGTTGTTTCTCAAGTACTCCTTATATTTTTGTATGTAAATTTCATAATTACTGCATTAGATGTATACAGGCCTTATAACCCTTATAAGGTCTGTTTACATCTAATGCAGTAATGGTTATAACTAAGTACCATAAAAAAAGCTCTAACTAATTATAACTAAAAGTGAATTACTTATTTTACATAAATAATAAATTTAATCAAGTAGATACATTTATTTATTATTATTTGATAAGTATATTATATAAAATCACAGAATACTTGCATAAATTACATTTCCTAAAAATAAATAATTATAATTAACAATAAAGAAAATTTAAATTATTCTACAATAATTTCTAACAAAATTTAATGGGATATTTGTTGCGATAAATCTTCAGCAATTTTTTCAAAATTTGGTTCCCATGTTTTTAAATAGAGATTATAATTGTGTACTTACAATGTAATGACTGCGAATTTATAATGTGCAGAGCAATAAATGAATCTTTCAATTTTTGTAACAAATGTAATGTCTAAATTTGCTAAATATCAAGTAATGCACACATGCAGTGACATGCATTGCATGGTAGGGGTACGATCCAGGCCTCGTTATTCCTTATACCAGTAGTCCAGTAAAAACATGAAAGGCCCCAATCTCATTGAGCAATAATTATGGAAGAGAATAAAAAAATTTTTTCTATTCTAACATTAATGCTCAGTTAAACCATAATTTTACTAGACTACAGGTTCACTCGGCACTAACAGCACGAATATACGGGCAAATCAAGTGGATAAACAAATTGTTTGGACTGTTAAAAGGGAAATCAATGTTCATACTGGGATATTTTAAAGTAAGGTTTTGTTGTTTCTTGTTTCTTGTGTTAATAATTTACAGCATATTGATTAACATACGTCATTTTATAGTGAAAGTTAGATGTACCCCTTTGATTTATGCTCATACCCCTAGGGGTACATGTACCCCCGGTTGAGAACCACTGGCGTAGGATAATCTAGTTTGGCCTAAATACTTTAGACTTAACTAGTTTGTCCTAGGCTGAACTGATTTATGTACTACAAATAGGCACCAGTGTAAAAAAAAATGATTTTGTGTAATTTGAAATGCCACCACAGTACACCTGGTGGTTAAAGTGTACCTAGGTAACCCCAATGGCAGTGCTTCGGTTAGGTTGGTTTGGTTAGGTTAATTACATTTTTAGTAGACATTTCCTTTTTTTTTTTTTTCTTTTGTTCAAGAACTACCGTGAATCAATAACTAGTGACGCTAAACAATGGGCAGCCTGCCGGCGGCTTCCCTCCGGGAGCACGAACAGTCCAAAGTGCCACCATTGGGGTTACCTAGGTACACTTTAACCTATCCTGTAAATAAAAAAAAAAATTATATTTTATGTCTCAAAATATACAATTAATCCACTATTACTCAAGGATAAGCACTGCACTCATCTTTCATTTGAAAATGCTTGTAACTTGGGCTTCTTGGATGTTTTATGCCAAATATTTGTCTAGCTTTCTACCCAAGTATCCTCATTAACAAGATACTGGAATCAGAAATAATAGTCATCACTAATGCTTTCAGTTCTGCCTTTGTCTTAGTTATATTAGACAAGTTAGCACAGTGTTAACTTGCAATTAATCTGTGTCCTTTTATTTGCATTTGAAGTTGTACTGTACAATTCCAACTACAAAGTGATATTGTGTATACGTATTATCATAAAATGTATGAAATGTTTCTGAAATGGCTTGATTAAAAAGTCTGAGAAAGAAAATGTAGGCTCCTTTGTCACAGACAATGAGGAGGAGGATCTCTGCATGAAAAACCTAGAAGTGTTGAGAAAGAAACCAGATTCTCCACAGGCAACATCAGTATCAAGAGAAAAGTGTACATATTGCCTCCAAAAAAGAATAGGAAAACANCAAAACAATTAAATAAATGAAAATTTGCATGTGTCATTGTTATAATGCGCAAGTGCGAGTACAAACTCTTGATATAACAATGAAATCTTATTCATTTTGTATTTGTTTTACTTTTTTAAAAGTGTGTTTGCTTAAATTGTGGCCCATTGTAATGCTACGCATGATCAAAGTGGCCCGCAAAACAATTTGGGTTGGCCAGGCCTGACTTAAATAATAATTCTAAATCAGTTTGGCCTAGGACAAACTAGTTAAGCCTAAAGTATTTAGGCCAAACTAGATTGTCCTAGGCTAAACTAGTATATCCTGACACACGTAGGATAAACTAGTTTCGCCGTTAACATATATATGGCCTTCAAA